ATACAGTAATCACGGGAAGAGCCCAGCAGTTAACAGGAAGACTAGTGCCATCATTCACATTGCCTTGTCTGTATACAATGAAAGTCTGCCTCTGTGTTTGTCTCCCTGATGAATGTTTTCTCTTTTATCACAGGAGGAAGAACAATAGAGATATTGTCATCCTTGAAGACGAAAAGTTATCCCACCTCATCTTCGTTCTTGCCTAAATTATTAAAATCAATCGAATTTCATAATCCATCGACTTACATAATCCATCGACTTACATAATCCATCGACTTACATAATCCATCGACTTACATAATCCATCGACTTACATAATCCATCGACTTACATAATCCATCGACTTACATAATCATCTTAATATATCTTACATTTGATCAACGTACTGTAATGGAGTTCATTTTGTGGCCCAATATTTAATTAATTTAAAGGGTAAAATTATTATTCTCTATCCTGCATCTTGAAATACATAATATACATACTTGATGAAGAAATAATAACAGAAGAGTTGTTGGCTAGTAATCATACGAGTCTTATTGTGTATGTATACGTTAGTTTAATCTCTTTATACCCTCTTTATTATTTTTAGTACTCATTAAAAGTAAATTCATCCCCTTTGTCACCTGACATTTTCCTGATTATAATATTATTTGATGTTTTCTAGACACAACTAAATTAATTGTTGATTTTCTGAACCAGATTTTGATGTGATAATGTTCTTGCCGGCGACCATTTTGGATTATGACGTCATCAATGTAAACATTAGGTCGGAACCAAGTAAAAAATTAATCAGTTGATGATAATGTTTATTCTGCTGGGTTGAAGTTGACAGGATATTTCAGGATATTTACTAGATCAATACAGGTACAGGTTAAACGACAGGTACTATACAGGGTCAGGTGCAGGTAACGGTGTACGTAAAGCTTCAGGTAAGGGTACAGGTTAATTACAGCTTTACGAAATATACAGAAGCATAATACCGTCTGACTATGTGTGTGTCTTCCTTATTGCTTTTATGTCTGTCTGTGTCTGTCATTCCGTCTGTCTTATTGTCTGTTTGTCTGTTTGTGTGTCTACGTGTCTGTCTTCCTGTCTTTATTATTACCTGCCTGTCTCTCTCTGTCCACGTTTTGACTTCCACACGAGGAATCACAATTTAATTTAATCTTGCTTGACTTAACCTAACCCAACCTGACCTGACCTGGGTTGGAAGCCTTCGTCAGGGACACAAACTGAAGTTCATCGAGTTTGACGTAGAAAGGTCAAAGCCGTGTGGTGGTCAGCTTACACACACACACACACACACACACACACACACACACACACACACACACACACACCTGAAGAGTATGTCCTTAATCGTCCTATGATTATAATGATAAACAGTCACGTTTAATCCCAACTGAGATGTGGAGGAGTTAATTTATAGCGATGACTCTCTCTCTCTCTCTCTCTCTCTCTCTCTCTCTCTCTCACACACACCCAGGACCACCAGGCAGGTGCTGTTGACAGGTGTGGTGAGAATTATGATAATCCTCGTATGGATCAGTGTGTCGTCCTAGAGGGAAGAATGACGGACTGTATCTCTTGGTCTTGTGATAAATTCATTCTTCTTGACACATCTTACTCGGTAGGAGGAGGAGGAGGAGGGAAGGGAGGGAAGGGAAGGGAAGGGAAGGGAAGGGAAGAAGAAGTGAGGGAGAGAAGAGGTGGAGATGAAGGGTAGAATGGCCGACTACTCTCTTCGTCCTGTAATAAATTCATTCACTTTGACACACTTCAGCCGGAGAGTAAAGGGAAAAGGAGGAGGAGGAGGAGGAAGAAGAAGAACAGGAGGATGAAGATGGAGGAGGAGAGGAAAGTATGTACTGTATAGATGTATTATACAGTATGTGTATGTTATATATATATATGTATATTATGTAGATATATTTTGTATATGTACATGACTTTTTGCATTGATTTTTCTTCGAGCATTTACGAAGCCTTGTTGGAGTGCCAGACTTTTTTTGTTTAGGTTAAGGTGGGGAAAGGATGGAAGGCATGCTGGGGCTCAAGGCACAGCCAGACATGAGGGATAGAGAAGTCACGACAGATAGTCATGGGGGGAAAGGTTGGAAAAGAAGTTTAATGAGTTAAACAGAGGGGGACGACACCCCTTGTTTTACATATTACAGAGTTTGTTGGCTAACTAAGGTAAACTAGGATTTAGGATGAGGTTGCACAATGGTTACTTTGGTAGACAATGACTAGTATGATTTTACAATTACATGTGTTTATAATCTTAAGTCTGTATTACGTTATGGACTCACTAGATTGTGACTTGTTAAATGTGATCTTATATCATGTGAGTTTTAATCGAAGGTGGATCATTGTGGTGGACATACTGTAGATGGGTCTCGGGTTGGGTTGTTGTAGTGCGGGCAGACAGTGGTTGATGACAGTCAGCGTGAAGGTGTCAGAAAACCCTGAATATCTGAGTAATTTCCACCCTAACATTATTTGGGGGCGATGAGGTTAGATTAGGTTAGGTTAGGTTAGGTTAGGTTAGGTTAGGTTAGGTTAAGGTGGTTAATCTCTCGGTGAAATAATCTGGGTTGGAGACTCTTCAGGTGAGTAGGAAAATCCAGGTGAACGTGTCATGGTATATCTTACAGCTGAGACGTGAACATAAACACTCTCTGCACTTCCCGTTGGTGTGAAAGCAAGATTCATCTGCAGTGAGCGCTACCTCTGTTGCCTCGGCACCTGAGGGTCAACAAACAACATTATACAGACACAGCTTGAGGTCACAGGTTACGGTTGCCACACACACACACACACACACACACACACACACACACACACACACACACCTGAACTATATTGTCGAAAATGTCAGACGACGCTTGGTTCTGTATTGATATATTCAGCTTCAGGCATACAATTTTTAAGTCAACAAACAGAATACATCAACTTCTGAGGCGTTTATATACTCGTACATCCTGATAAACAAATTCCCACCCGTCGAATACGTTCAACAAACCGTGTAATATATCCAGCCATTAAAAATGTTCACAATTTTTATGAAAGCAAACTCTCGTCCACTCACTGATGCTCAACACACGACTATTAGGAACTCATCTTACTATACTTCCAGCTATACAACTTGACATTTACACTATGAAGACGAAGCAATGAATAGGAGCTACAATAGTCAGACACGAATCCCAGCAGCTATCTTTTAATGTATCTGATATTTGCGGCAGACGACTTGACAACTCTCCCCCACTTTACAGCGTTGAGTTACGTTCCTTTCCAAGCTGTCAGTGTTTAGATTGCGTCCAGTCAAGTAAAACGGATTTCCATTTTGAACAGTAAAAACACGTAGCGCTCGTCAGGGGTTGAAGGTGAAGCCACAGCACAATTCTCCTGTTAGCTGTGTACGTGAACAGGCGATCGCCAGGTGTACCGAGTCGTGTATATTGCAATATGTCACTGCATTTCTTAATCCGTTGTTACTGCTCCTTGTGATTCATCCATCCATTCATCCATCCGTCCGTCCGTCCGTCTATCCATCCATTCTCATTTTATAAAGAAACTCATATATCCAAGACAGCCGATCACCCTTCACTTTTAAACACCAGTGAGACAAAATAGAGAAATGTGGCTATGTTTCTCACACCCACCCACCCACCCACCCACCCACCCCCCCACCCCCAATCCCTCCACCCCCCTACTACCTGTTTTCGCTTTAAGCTTCGAGCCATTTACCAGAGGCTAGGCGTTTCTGTTTTTTTTATTCTCTTCAACATGGAGAGCCACGAGGTGCAGGCAGGTGACTGGAGCCCACTCAAGCGCTTAAACCTAAAACATTTAAAGGGTTAAGCCTGAGCGCTAGACACGTGTACAGTATGTCATGTTTTGCTGACAGGAGTGTTTGGATGGCGGAGTGTATCTGTTCCTTCTTGTGTGTGGGTGTGTGTGTGTTTTGTGGGGGTGGGGTCTGAGTGGGGTGGAAATTTGTGAACAAGTTGGATGTTTAACACACACACACACACACACACACACACACACACACACACACACACATACACAATGGTTGTAATTACCCAGTCCTACACTTATTGATCAACTATTAAGGACACAATTATCGTTTGGCTCGACCCATAATTACTTGTTCTAGATTGCTTGTTCGAGACCTGTGTTCCAGTTAATTAACCTTGATACTTGTTCCAGATCTTTGTTCCAGATAATTGTTCCAGACCCATATATCCAGATGAATTTACTCCAGGACCATTTCCAGATGACTTGTACTGTAAGCAGCGACACACATACAAACATACATCCAAACAGACACACACACACACACACACACACACACACACACTGTTTACAGTCTGTGTATACCTTTAGTGCTGATACTTTGTAAAATCTTGTTTTAATTCTCACTTGTATCACAAAGTTTATAACGACACAGTTAGTGCCAGAGTGTACGGTCATTGTTTCTGAAGAGATGACTGGCGTTGTGGAGAGTTAGTCAGCTCTGGTTGTCCGTGACTGTGTTCGATGGCTACTTGAGTCTGATGGAAGTGGTAATATTTTGAAGGTAACCTAACCTAACCTAACCTAACCTCACCTAACCTAACCTAACCTAACCTAAACTGGCCTAACGTGACCAAACCTACCCTGATTTAACCTAACCTAAGTCTTGGTAAGTTAGAGAAGGTAACGTTCCATTAGGTTAGGTTAGGTTAGGTTAGGTTAAATGATGGATTTTACCTGTTTTTAAATATTTTCATCCACTAAAAAAAATAATCTACAGTTTTAAAAGAATTAATGATTAAACCTGACGAGTAAAATTATTCCTCTGTGATGTTCCTAGAGAATGAAACACTAACTAAGGATTTAAAACCGATTACAATACTAATTTCATCAGTTAATCTTCAAATTTAAAACATTCAGTGTATTATTTATTCATTGTATTCATCTGTTTATTTTTTAACAGGTGGTGGCGATGCTACATCAGTGGGCGGAGGCGTAAGGGTGAGCCAGTTGTGCCCATCTGTTGCTGCTGACGTCACAGCCACCATCACGCTGTTAAATGACTGTGGTGTTCCCGGAGACGTGTGTTATTCAGAAAACATATAAGAAATAAATGTTTGTGAAGGCAGAACTTTGTGTAGATAATAGTCAGTGAAATATAGATTAGTCAGTGAAAATTACAGTATAGTTCACATCTCAAAGTCTTAAGACGAGGAAGAGTATTTCACCACACATCATAGACAGGTGAGGTGAAGGAGACTCAGACACACACCTTCACTACAGACCAGTAGTCAGGATGGCCATGCTGGAGGAGGGTTGTGTGGGGTCAGGTGTGGAATGTGACCTGACAGACTCCACCCTGGAGGCCACTGTGGAGGACCCCTCGACTAATCTCTCCTGGATTAACAACTCGCTCCTCGCCGTCACCACAGAGCTGCCCTACATACCCATGCAAGAGCGGCCAGAGACCTACATTGTGCCCATAGTGTTCTTCATAATCTTCGTGGTGGGCGTGGCGGGTAATGGCACGCTGGTGTTCATGTTCATCAAGTACCCCACCATGCGTAACGTGCCCAACACTTACATCCTCTCCTTGGCTCTGGGCGACCTCCTGGTGGTGATCTTCGCTGTGCCTTTCGTTTCCCTCATCTACGTCACTGATCACTGGCCCTTCGGGGAGTTCATATGCCGGCTTTCAGAGTTCATGCGGGACATCTCAGTGGGCGTGACCGTGTTCACGCTGACGGCTCTCAGCGCTGACCGCTATATGGCCATCGTGGACCCCGTGGGTAAGCGTGCAGGGGCAGTGGCCCACCGCAGCACTGTGGCCGTCACCGTCATGATTTGGGTGTTGGCAGCGATCCTGGCGACCCCCGCTGGCGTGTTCTCCCACCTGAGTGTCAAGGACTCCTCCAAGGGAGATATCGTGGTGTGTTACCCCTTCCCTCCTTGGCTGGGAATGTCCTACCGCAAGATCAACGTCCTCGCTAAGGTGACCGTGTACTACGTTCTTCCGCTCCTCATCATCTCCACCTTCTACCTCCTTATGGCGCGCCATCTGGTGAAGGCAGCGGAGCCCCTCCCTGGCGAAGCCCAGCACCAGCGTCATCACATCAAGCACGTCGCCGCCCGCAGGAAGGTGGCTAAGCTAGTGCTGGCCTTCGTCGTCATCTTCGCCATCTGCTACTTCCCCAATCACGTCTTTCTGCTGTGGTTCTACTTCAACCCCAACATGAAGGAAGACTACAACTACTTCTGGAACGCCTTCCGCTGCGTCGGCTTCTGCCTCGGCTTCATCAACTCCTGCATCAACCCCATCGCCCTGTACTGCATCAGCGGAACATTTAGGAAGAACTTCAACCGCCATCTCTTCTGCTGTATATGCCCCGAGGCTACCCAGGGCCGCACCTGGACCACCTTCCACTTCCACTCGTCTGGACAACACTTCATCTCCACGGTCAGGAAGACTGAAAACTTCGACATGTCCACCATGAACGGCCCAGAGAAGACGGCTGTGTAATGTGTGTGGGTGTGTGTGTGTAGGATAAGTGGATATGAGTATCTGTATACATAAAATGACTTCACTTATGCCACAAGTATTGCGTACTTCTAGATGTACTATACGTTAATAAAGCAAACACTTGTGGTAGCAGGAGACGGTGGTGAGGATGGTGTTGTAAATTATTCTCTAACTCACAGATGTATGAAAGTATGGATGTGTTTCTGTAATATATATAAATGGGTGTGTGTGTGTGTGTGTGTGTGTGTGTGTGAGTTTTTGAATACACATACAAAATTCACTATAAGTTAATGTAGCTTATAGGGGACGATTGACATATAGGTTGTACAATATTAAGTGATTTAGAGGTCTAGTACAGGCAGTAGTGACACATTGTGCCCACAGGCAGTTACCATCACAACCTGCCATCCTCAGTGCCGGAGATTGGAAGGTTTTACCCCACTCACTCAACTGCTGTACACTTAATGCTAGTCCCTAGGGTGAATATTTTAACCCCAGAAGCTTGAGTCCCTTGGGTAGGTTTTCTCTTCGTATTGTTTCATTTTGTTTTTTTCATTTTAGGATTTTTTTCAATTATTTTTGTTTTCACTGTTTTTCGTTTTACTACATTCCAGTTTCTTCATTCCACTTCATTTCTATTTATTTCAGTTCATTTCACTTTTTCGTTTCATTTCAGTTTCTTTTAATACGTAGGACTATTTCTTGATGACCAATTTTACGTGTTAGTTTCAGTGCTTTTCCAGACGTCCCTTATCGAGTGAGTGACGACAGTAGTGAGGGACGCTCCATGTCTTTATTTAGATTTTTTTTTTAGAAAGACAAAAAGAAACAATAACAATAACAACAACAACAGCCATACCAACATCATTATCAACAACAACAACAACAAAATCAACAACAAAAGACAATTATTCTAGACTTATTCAGTAATTCTTTTTACTTTTCTCAAGAACCTGAGATAAATACACTGAAATATAAACTTGAATTGGGACTATTACTTTTTACCGCCGAAATACTTTGGTGTTGGTTGATGGAACAGCGGCCAGCAACGTCTGACAACAAGACACTTGCCTGAACGTTTGTAAGAGTTAAGCTTTGTGTGTGTGTGTGTGTGTGTGTGTGTGTGTGTGTGTGTGTGTGTGTGTGTGTGTGTGTGTGTGAGCTTTATAAGATGTATAAGTTATAAGAAACAAGATGAATTATGTTACTATAAAATTTCTACTGAGTGTCAATGAGTTAGGTTGATGAGGTACTGTATGTGGTTTTGTCTTACACACACACACACACACACACACACACACACACACACACACACAGAGAACTGGAATTTGCATCTATATAAGTGTTTGTTTTATATTACCTGAGTGTCAAGACCTACACATCTGTCACAACTTGTATATATTATTTGGTCTGTTTGAGTAAGCGTTGACAAACTAACGTGTTCTTAGTAATCATAAATGATGCACTAATGTACAGTATTAAAATATATCTGTAAATCTCTGTGGATAATATTCTTCTTCTTCTTCTTCAAAAAAAAAAAATGAGCATCAATCTGTGGGACAGCGAGAGATTCGAGTGGGCTAAATCTCTTTGTTAAATCTTCTTTGATCCTCAACCTTAGACAGATAAAATCCCTTTACCCTCGCTGGTCCATCGGGCGGTCCTGTACCCTTTACTGTAACCAATGCGTCTCACTCCATCCCAGCCTGTAGAGGTGAACCGATATCCTGATGCTCTTTTTTTTTTTACTGAGATATGTTGAGTCGTCTCTAGATGACCGTAAATGGTGGGTGTTTTATGTAATTTTTTAAATGTTGCTTGTACAGGTATGTGTTCCTTGATGGGTGGGGCATGTGTCAGGTGTGTTCCTTGATAGGTGGTCTTGTGTCAGGTGTGTCCCTTGATGGGTGGTTTTGTGTCAGGTGTGTTCCTTGATGGTTGGTCATGTGTCAGGTGTGTTCCTGTGTCAGGTGTGTCATGGGTGGTTTTGTGTCAGGTGTGTTCCTTGATGGGTGGTCATGTGTCAGGTGTGTTCCTTGATGGTGGTCATGTGTCAGGTGTGTTCCTTGATAGGTGGGCATGTGTCAGGTGTGCTTGATGGGTGGTTTTGTGTCAGGTGTGTTCCTTGATGGGTGGTTTTGTGTCAGGTGTGTTCCTTGATGGGTGGTCATGTGTCAGGTGTGTTCCTTGATGGGTGGTCATGTGTCAGGTGTGTTCCTTGATAGGTGGGCATGTGTCAGGTGTGTTCCTTGATGGTTGGTCATGTGTCAGGTGTGTTCCTTGATGGGTGGTCTTGTGTCAGGTGTGTTCCTTGATAGGTGGTCTTGTGTCCAGGTGTGTTCCTTGATGGGTGGTCATGTGTCAGGTGTGTTCCTTGATGGGTGGGCATGTGTCAGGTGTGTTACTTGATGGGTGGGCATGTGTCAGATGTGGTACGTGTATGAGGGAGGAGTGAGGTCCCCCAACAGCCTCTGGCGAGTTGTTAAATATCTGAACACCCTGTACATTAAGGCCTCGATACCCTAAACCCAGGTATAGTTAAACCTTGACAATAAGAGTCTTAAAAGAGGCAGACTTTCTTGATCCATCCATCACTCTCTAGGCTTCCAATATTTCTAACCCCGGATACAAGTCTCAGTGTGTCTCAGCATCTCGATACCCTAAACCCAGGTATAGTTAAACCTTGACAATAAGAGTCTTAAAAGAGGCAGACTTTCTTGATCCATCCATCACTCTCTAGGCTTCCAATATTTCTAACCCCGGATACAAGTCTCAGTGTGTCTCAGCATCAGTGATTTAAGTTTATATCACACTTGTATCAGCAACACAAACCTCCCATCAGGATTTCCGCTGAGAGTGTGTGTGTGTGTGTGTGTGTGTGTGTGTGTGAAAGGTGGATCATGTGAAGATTAGACACGCCGGCTTATTTCACCTGAAGATTAAATACCCAAGCGCTGGCCTTACCTAATCTGGTAGTAGTACTGCGTGTGTTGATCGCTTTAGAGAGAGAGAGAGAGAGAGAGAGAGAGAGAGAGAGAGAGAGTATCAGGTGAAGGTACAATGTGAAAATTTCCTTTAAGGTTGAACTAAGACTTTATCTTTGTACTGTATATATTAGCCTTGTTAAGCATTACTCCTTAGTCTGTACTCACCCCTGAAGATGTGAATTACACGAAAGCGCTTGGGAACTTCGTGTTTTCTTGTTTCCTTGTGGTTATCACACACACACACACACACACATATATATATATATATATATATATATATATATATATATATATATATATATATATATATATATATATATATATATATATATATATATATATAAATCACTGTAGGTGCATATATATATATATATATATATATATATATATATATATATATATATATATATATATATATATATATATATATATATATAATCTATTAGTATATTTCACTAAGTAAATGTGTACGCACAAAAATCTATTTTCTCTATGTATACAACCAATTCATATATTATACACCTCTCATCACCATAATGATAATGTTAAATATATAATAACTCACGAATCCTCTTATGACCATTTTTCAGCGGCCATAGCTCACCCCTGTACAGTAAGATATACAGTAAATCCCTTTTAAACCCTTTTTACAAAAGTGTAAATAAGTGTATTAATGTTGGACTTTTACCCAAGTCATAAGTACATGACGTGTGTGTGTAATAATAATAATAATAATAATAATAATAATTAACGGTTTATTGAAAAAGTTCTGCAGCCCGAAGGCTGAAAATATACATTGGACATAAATGACTTATTACATACATTGGTGGTTTAACAAAAGCCTTCATTAGAGAAAGGTAAAGGAACATACAGTGAACATACAGATTAATGTTGGTGTTGAACAGCAAACATGTAGTGTAGTAACTCCCTCCCAGATGGTGTTAGGAGGAACCTCACTCGGTGTAGTAGTTCCCTCCCAGATGGTGTTAGGAGGAACTCACGCGGTGTAGTAGTTCCCTCAGATGGTGTTATGTGTGTGTGTGTGTGTGTGTGTGTGTAATAGTTGTGTTGGTCCACTATGTTCTTTATGGTTGTTGTATTATAATGTTTCTAGATGGTTCAACACCCCGGGAACTGAACCACCAATCACAAGGACTTAATACTAGGCCAACAGAGATAAAGCATCGCTAAAAGTGTCCCTCTGAGCGTTGCTGCCGGCTCGACACACAGACACTCACTGATTACACAATCCTCACCATCCTCCTACATTGACAGATTAATAAACAAACAATATAAAATAAAAATAACTTGTTGAATAATAGACTTGAAAACAAAAGACGAGAACAAAAACCTGCCGTGGGACTTTTTAGACAACCAGAGAGAGAGGCGTTGGTATTGGTGTTCCATCTAGCGCTGACAGCCAATCACAAAGAAGAATCCATCTGTAGACGGGAATATGTTCCACGAACGTCAACATTGACATATGTTCAGTACATTATCTTGATTATAATAAAAACTAGATGATAATCTCACCATGTAATGTGTGTGGATGTTGTTAATCATATATGGTATTCCATATATGTATATCTGTACCGTGATTAATAAACAATGTGTTTATGTAACGAGAGTTTTTCATTAACCGAGAGACTATAACTAGATACAGTACATGTAGACTATACATAAAATACAATTAGAGGGAAGTTATTATCGAGCAGGTATACATATTACGTATACTTACACATATCACACACTCTTTCATATACTCTTATCTATTCATTTACATACACATACATAAACACACTTACATACACACTCTTACCTGACATGCACATATTTATTGCAGATCCACACAAACGTACATGTATACACGCACACACATATTTTTCTTATAGAGTGTAAGTTCCTTCAAGACTCTTACCTTTATTCTTCACGCCTACACATACCTGCACAAGTCTCCACACGCCTACACATACCTGCACAAGTCTCCACACGCCTACACATACCTGCACAAGTCTCCACACGCCTACACATACCTGCACAAGTCTCCACACGCCTACACATACCTGCACAAGTCTCCACACGCCTACACATACCTGCACAAGTCTCCACACGCCTACACGCCTCTGGACACGCCTATACAAGTCTACCCACGCGTCCACACTCTTACTTATGCCTCCACACTCCCCCCACACGCCTCCATACGTGTGCACACGCCTCCACAGCTCTCCATATGCTTACACACGCCTACACAAACCTTATACCTGTACATTACCTTTACCTTTAGTCAACACATCTCTCTCTCTCTCTCTCTCTCTCTCTCATTTTGACCAATGTATCTAATTTTAATCAATTTCATATTACTTCGTTGTATTTATCATTTCTTTAAACTGTATTACTCCTTTACCTTAATTAATTTGTCTTTGTAAGTTATTGTATGTATGTCATTTCTCTCAACATCTGTGTGTGTGTGTGTGTGTGTGTGTAAAAACAGACCAAGTAGCGTGAGTGTGGTGGGCGTGAGTGGGTGGTGCGGAGGGCGTGGTCGAGGCAGACAATCATGGTTGAGTGCTGGAGGAAACATGTCCTCACGTTACTAAGTGCTTGTTTCTCTCATATGTGTTTTATATTAATTAGATTGTAATTATTTAAGACATAATCCGAGCGCGCGTGTGTGTATGTATGTGTGTGTGTGTATGTGTGTGTGTGTGTGTGTGTGTGTGTGTGTGTGTGTTTATGTATGTGTCTAAAGTTATGTATGTGTACGTGGATGTTTATCTGTTTCTCTTTCCGTTTATCTGTCTGTCTCTTTTATTTTATCGCTATATGTCTCTTAATGCCTTTCTATCTTTGTAATTTCGTCTCTCTCTCTCAATAAATTTTCTCATCACAGGTAAGAGCTAGTAGCCTGCATCAGTATTTTCAAAGCAATAATCTGAACCGTAATTATTTAGTAATGTTATTAACTGTATCACGCTACTGTAGTTTCATTTCCTGTACGAGTATCATCTCTGTATTAACCCCTGATGTTTGAGATCAAAGTTAAGGTTAATTAAACACCGGTTTTTACCTTTGGTGTAGTTACATTAAACCAGACAGGTAGAAAGACGTGATTTCCTGATATAGTGAGAATCTTAACTATTTATTATGTCGTCTGTTGTGGTCAATGAACTCTCTTAACTGACACTGATATATCAACCTAACCTAACCAAACCTAACCTAACCTAACGTAACGTAACCCAAACTTTGCTTCACCCACTAGGCTATACTTATATCCCCCGAGAGTGATGGCCATACAGCCGTCGGATCAAAACAAGGGTCTAGGTTTATGGAGCCAGTAGAGGTGTAATGATGATGTAAGGCCGTGTTTAGGTGGCTGAAGATGAGAGAGAGAGAGAGAGAGAGAGAGGGAGAGAGACAAGATGTACTTATTAATAGAGTATCTTATGTCAGGAATAATTACACTCAAACTCACAGAGGTAGAGTAAAGATAATGAAATATCTTCCAACCTTTGACCGAAGTACCATGAAACCTCTGACTATCCAACACAAGATTCCACAGGTCTGCCAACTGGTTATGGCCTCTCCACATGTTTAACCTTCTACGACTCTTTATCCTCTCACTATATGTACAGTCGCCTACAGTTCTACCTGTTACATTGGTTGGCGTGTTATGTGAGATGTGGCAGATCTATGTTTGTTTACAATATATAATAACTCTCGGAATGACCCTAAGGAACTTCGCAGTAGTACCCAGACTAAAGATAATAAATAAGAATTTCATCTCTATCTGTGAATGCAAGCTCGTCCTGAATTAAGGATGTTAGTAATTATGAAAGCTCCGTGTACTGAACCATGTCGCCTCTATAATGGACAGACTGTGGGCGGTGAATGTTAAGAAGACGGGTGGACACGCTACTTGCATTCAGTGTGAAATTGAATTAAAGAACCGAACTGATTTGAGAT